ACGGGAAGAAGGTTCGCCGGCATGCCAGAGTCACTGGGACTCGGAGCGAGCCGCGATGCCATGCCCACCTCGGGACTCGATCGCGAAGCCACAGCTGAAGCGGTCTCATATGAAGCAAACCGAGCGGCGTTGCCGCGGCCGCGGATGCCATATGCCCCAGGAGCCTCTGAAAAAGTTTCAGTGGAACCGCACTCTTGCCCTCGAACTGACGAAGACAAGTCAGCAGTGAGTGCGCGCGCTCGTTCGTGAGCTGCGCGGACATGGCGACCGAGTCTATCTCCACGCCGAGAAAAGAGATCCTCTGCACGGGGCAAAGTTTGCTCTTTTCTCGGTTGACCCGAAGGCCCAGACGGGCTAGGTGCCGGAGCACCAAGTCTCTGTGTTCGCAAAGCTGAGCTCGAGAGTGTGCTAATATCAGCCAGTCGTCGAGATAATTCAGGATGCGAACCCCGTGTTCGCGAAGGGGAACAAGGGCTGCCTCGACGATCTTCGTGAAGACGCGAGGGGACAGAGCTAACCCGAATGGGAGAACGGCGTACTGATATGCCTGGCCCTCGAAGGCAAACCGAAGAAACGGTCTGTGTCGAGGTAAGATGGACACATGGAAGTACGCGTCCTTCAGGTCGATCGCTGCAAACCAATCCTGATACCGAACACATTCGAAAATGCGTTTGGCCGTGAGCATTTTGAACGGTAGTCGATGGAGAGAACGGTTCAAAATGCGCAGGTCCAGGATCGGTCGTAACCCACCGGTCTTCTTGGGGACAATGAAGTAGGGGCTGTAAAACCCGGACCTCACCTCGGCTGGAGGGACCGTCTCGATTGCACCCTTCGCCAGCAGGGTCGCAATCTCCGCTCTCAGGACTGGGGCATTGCCACCGACTATCGTGGAGCGAACTCCCCTGAAGCGGGGAGGAGACCGTGCGAACTGAATCGCGTAGCCGAATCTGATCGTTCTGATGACCCAGCGGGATACCCCGGGAAGCGCTAGCCAGGCTTCCAGGAAGTGAGCCAACGGGGTCATGTGAACTACAGACGTCCCCCCGGAGGGGCAGCGTGGCGGGTCGACTGGCACGCGTGCAGGGATGACCCCGCTCGGATGCGTCGAAGCCCGCTCCCCGACAGAAGGGACCAGGGAAAGCGGAGCGTTCCACGGGGGTCCGTTCTGCCGGGGGTCTGGCGAGAGAGGGGGAAGGGATTGGTGTAGCCCGGGGACGACACACGCACCCTTCCGCGCCCTCCGAGACAGAGAGGAGTGAGTGGGCCGACACACTGGGGCATCGGGGGCACTCACTCCAGTCTGTGAGCTCAGTGAGGATGTCAAGTCTTTCTTTAACCAGTTCAGGGTGCTGCCCACCCGTGGGTGAGCAGCGGGGAGCTGAGAACAAAAGATTCTCCCCCGGCCCTCCACCGGGGGAAGGAGGGGGCCTGCTACCGCCTCCTGGGAAAGACTCGAGATCACACTGAGCTGCCCGTGTCAGGATCTTCGCTTGGCCTGGCGTTTAGCGGGGCGAGCGGCCTGAGGGGGCTGTGACGCCGGCCTGCGGCCTCCTCGACGCCGGGGCCCGGGTGAAGGCTGCTGCTGGGGCCGGGCGGGAGGGAGGGGAGCCGCAGGGGGGCGTCCTCGGCGGCGAGCAGGGGGAGGCACCTGTGCCGACGACTGGGTGGAGGCAGCAGCTGGTCGTCGGGGCAGGATGTGTTTAATGGCCTCCGTCTGCTTCTGGGCAGTGGAGAACTGTTGGGCGAAGTCCTCGACCGCACCGCCGAAAAGGCCAACCTGGGATAGCGGAGCGTCGAGCAGACGAGTCCGTTCAGCGCTCCGCGTATCCGCCAGGTTGAGCCACAGATGACGCTCCTGAACCACGCTAGTGGCCATCACCTGACCAACGGCGCGAGCAGCCACTTTCGTTGCCCGGAGAGCAAGGTCAGTGGCGGACCGCAGTTCTTTAAATGCCGTCGGATCAGTCCCGCCCTCGTGCATGTCTCTGAGCAACTTCGCTTGGAAGACCTGCAAAGTGGTCATAGCATGCAGAGCGGAGGCCGCCTGTCCCGCCGCTCTGTAGGATCGCGCCGCCATAGCAGACGAGAACCCACAGGCTTTGGATGGGTGCTTAGGAGGACCACGGGTGGACGCGCTCTGTGGACACAGCTGCATCGCAACAGAGCGCTCCACCGGGGGCATCCCAGTGTACCCACGGGCGGCCCCGCCGTCGAGGGGGGAAAGGCGGGGGAGAGATCGCGCTCTCGAGTGGACAAAGGAGCCCCCCAAGAGCGCGATAACTCCGCATGCAGCTCGGGGAAAAAAGGTATTGGAGTCGGCCGTGGCTTTGCAGCGGCAGCCTTGTCCAAAAACCAATTATCCATCCGCGAGAGGTCGGGGCAGGATGGAGGTTTCCATTCTAGCCCGATACTCCCAGCGGCTCGAGACAGCATGGCCGTCATCTCGGGATCTGACGCGGACAACGCTGGGACTCCCGAAGGAGGCAACGCAGCCGGATCTTCCTCTCCCGAGGAATCAAGCCCGCCTAGTGATGCTGTGATAGACATCGCATCATCATCTGGGGCGCTGCTCGAAGCAGCCGGTGCCGCCGAAGAGACAACCGACCGAGTCGAACTAGCGCCCGCTGGCTCACGCACTGAGGCGGGAGGTGTGGCCCGAGGAATCGTCGGGGCTTTATCCCACACCGTCACCGTTAGATCGCCCGGTCCCCGGGTCGACGGGCCCCCTTTAGAAAAGGAAGCCGATCGAGTAGGGGGGACCGGGGCTCTCACTCTAGTGAGATCATTGAGCCGCGACCTCAGTGTGGAGATGGTCATGCTCCCACAGAAGGAACATGAGTCATCCACGAACGCTGCTGCTGCATGCTGAATGCCCAAGCAAACAAAGCAGCGTTCGTGACCATCAGATGACGATAGAAATCTACCACATCCAGAAGGGCACGGGCGAACCATCTTTAAAAAGACGTGCCGCGTGCAGCTCTTTTACAGAGAGGAGAGAAATTCACTCTTTCAGCGCTGAGGCTACCAGGGAGAAGCGCAAAGTCTGGCAAACCACTGCACAGATCGCAGGCAATGCAGAATCTCGCTGGGTACCGCCGTCACACCAACACTGAAGAGGACGCTCGTCTCGAAGAGTCTTGAATCAGCTTTGAGGAGTGAAGAGGTTCTCTTGGCTCCGAAGCGAAAACATACTGCGGTTGCGTTCACTTCCTCCTTTTATACTCACGGAGTAGGGCGGAGTACGCTATGCAAATTTCCGCAGCCCCAAGGCATTGCATGCCATTGGCTCGTGTTTTAATACTCGAAGAGGATTGGCTTTCTATGCGAAATCCCCCAATCTCCGTCACTTCTGACGTAACTCGAAGTGACTACGAAAGGGAACTAAATGGTATCAAATTCAATTACATTAAAAAAAATAAATCTCAAAAACTGATGTTTTTAAATGCTACTACAAGTGAATTTATGCATCACACAGATATAATGTGCTGTATGAAAAATGTAGTTTTCCAATTTTAGATATAAGTGGTATTAAACAATTAGTCTTTTTTATAAATAATCTATTTATAAATTTTTGTTAGGCTATTTGCACGGTGACAAGATAAGATATTCGTCAGTGACGCTCAGGATCTGTTGCACTTATTTTAATCTTTAACGTTAGATCTTTACAACTTTCCCTTTATTTATACAAAACGAATGCTTGAATCCTCCGCAATTGTCTAGTCAGTCATCTTTCCCTACTCTCATCACAAGTGAAAGCTGACTCCGATGGAAGACATTTTCAGTTTAACTGTAGTGTCCATTGTCCAACCGATCTAAATGATTTTTATTTCCATTAAAAAAGCAAAATGGTATTCATGTACGGCCAAACACGGTTTAACACCCCTAACACTAAGTCCCACAGCAACATGACTCTGATCATGTGACACTGAAGACTGGAGTAATGATGCTGATAATTCACCTCTGCCGTCACAGGAATAAACGCCATTTTAAAATATATTCAAATACAATCCTGTTACCTATATTAAATTCTAATATGTCACTCTTTTACTGTATTTTGGTCAAATGAATGCTGCCTAGTTAAACATAAGAGACTTCCATCTTAGAATATTATGATGTTTTTTGAACAATTGTGTATGAGTTGATATATGACCACCACCGGTATGGTGCCAACATACCGTGCATCTCTCGTTTCAAATATTTATTTAGTAATTATTAGAGAAGGAGAGCCATTCAAAGGCTTCATTCTTGTTTTGGTGCATCTGGTTCATGTCACATTTGTTTATCTCTGATTCATCCACTCAGGGAGATTTTACTGAAAACAGGTGGTATAACGCAGAAAGTTCGAAGTCAATGGTTTTATTCCTAAAAGAAATGTTCCTCCAATTCCGAAGCACTTCGTTTTTCTTGTGAATTTCTTGTGAACATTCTTCTTCTATTGTTAACATAAGCGCAAACATTCAGACCAGCTCTAATTCCGTATTTATTTTTGCAAATCTTATTTAAATCAGTGATTTCTTTCAGCTTTATTTTGTTTTCAGGCAGGTTGTTCTGTATCTAATGAATGTACTGTTTGGCGTTGTACTGATCATGTCTTTTCTTTAAGTGTTTTATCTTTGGAGTCTCAGACTAATTATTGGTTGTAAACCAGACTTTGTTGTAATCTGAAAAGCCACACTAAGTTTATTACATTTGTAGATTCACTTTCTTCATTAATAGACATGGAATATTTTGTTTGTTCTTTCTTTTTCTTTTTTAAATCAACTACTGTATGAAGTAAAAAAGAAAAAGATTTTTTTTTACATCATATTCCAATTACTACAGCCCTTGGTTTTGTGGGTAGTGATATTATAGCAATAAATTAGAAAAATATCATATTTGCTATCAATGTTATCTTAAAATTATCTATTAGAAACTAATTTAATATGTTTTGGAGTTTGCAATTGTCTCCATTTGTTTTAAAGATTAGGACCAAAATAACTCACAACTGATCCTTTTCACAGCCTTGGGACAAAACACGTCACACAAAAGGAGAACCATTTGATGGAAGAAAAGAAAAAGAAAAAGCAAGAGGAAAAGAAAAAGAAGGAAGCTGCTCAGAAAAAGGTGAGGGCTTCTTTCGTATGACCTACAAGCTTTCACCTAGAATCTTTTGCTTGCGTCCTCCTTATGAAAGCTGCTTAGCGGACACCTTAATGGGTCTGTCATAAGCTTCTGAGACATCTTTACCAACGTAAAGCACAGGTACCAAACTGAAGACCTAGAGCTCACAACAACCTGTTTAATGTCTGCCTGTGAAACTCTATTCAAACACAGATAGATATTATGGTGCTCACTTCTTAGACGTCATGCAGTTACAAAGTATGTGTACATTTACTAATGTGTCATTCACATCCTGCTGCTCTTTGGATTGATTTAGCACATCCAGCTTGATCTCTATTTAGCATAATACTGAAGCAGATATCCATTATAATCCATCTGACATGTTCCAAGATTTATGGTCCACTATTCATTTGTACTATTTGTGTTTTTTGTTCCAGGAGTAACACGTTTTTTGTTATAAAGCTTTTGTACATTAGACCTGTGAAAGTGTCCATCTCTCAGTCTACCTTTGTTCTTTCTTCACAGGCTGCTGAACAGAAAACCAAAGGTCAGTTATGATTCTCTTTGCAGTGCTGCACTAAAGCATTAAGTTAAAAGTGTTTCCTTTTTAAGGATCTTCTTCATTCAGATATGTTCATACCGCATGCATCTTGTTGAAAACCTACGTTGCATGTGCTGCAGATATTTTTTGTGCTATTGTCAGAATTAACACAAACATAATACCATTCGCTATAACGGTAGTTTCGTGTGAGACTGCAGTACATTTGATCAGAATCTGCACAGTTATTTATGTGGGTGAACTGAATGACTGGCACAAGACGGCACAGCAGTTGGTAGAGACAAATCGACTACGACTGGTGACTGCTGAGAGATTCAGACGTTTGCACTTTAAACATTTCAAATTTGAATGTTAGTAAATCAGGATTGTTTTCCTTATTGTAATATCTAATGAATTATTCACTAACACATAGGCTGAGCATAAAATATTTTACATAGTGATGCACCGATGTGAAAATTGTAGCCGATACCGATAACCGATATTAATATTGCTGTTATGGCCGATACCGATATTTACCGATGTCGATATCTCTGCCAGGCCGCACAATATTGGTAAAAATGACATTTTATGTTTATATTTTATTTTTCTGCAATATATATATATATATTGCGATATAAATACAATTCCACCCGATGACTCGAATAGCTCTATTTGGAAAGAATGAATCATTGTAGAATGAATGGGGTGGTTTTGTCATGAAGTAAATCGCATAGAAACTTATATTAATAGAATGTCAACTAATGTCATTAAATAGACTTTAATAAATGGAACCGTTACCTTATTGTGAAGTGTTTTCCAATTTATGTCTCTTGAGTTCAGTGTTGGACAGATCAGTTGTTTTAACCGTTTATTAAAGTGAATCGGTTCAAATGAGTCATAAGTTTGCGAATCGGACTTGTCATTAACGGACAACGGCACACGTTGTGCGATTTATCCAGGCAGTTTTGGACATCGCACAAGATTTGTCTCAAAACAGAAAACATTTCATCACTAGATTGTTTAACTAACTTGTTTATTGAAACTGTGGTTTATGTCATCTGAATGTGTGGAAAGCTTTTTAAGGCTGTGTTAATTTAGCACAATTCACAACCAGTGGTAGTTCAGAAAAAAACAAAAAAAAAACATTGTGTATTCTCAAAGATATTCAGTCAACTCAATTCATTAATATGTGCGAGCGAGGGAGAGTAAGCAAAACGGTGAGAGTGTGCGTGCGCGACCGGGGCTTTAACTCTCTCTGCTCCTTCTCTCAGTTAAACAAGCGCAGCAGTCAGTCATCTACATCACTCACCGGTCAAATACGGCTTTGGCGGGTCAAAAATGCCCCTTAGTAAGGCTGACAGAAAACAGCATGCAAGTTCCGTGCAAGTTGTTTGATTGAATTCTGTGATGGAAATGCCATTTAAGGTTTTTTTAAATCGTGTGAAAATCACAATTTAAAATGGCTGACTTTATCTTGCTTAGACTAATTTCATAGTTAACATTAGTTCTAAATACACAATTTTTATACTGTTTTACGTTTTAAAACTTTATATTATTAATTTTAATATTTATGTACATGACAACACTGACTGTTGTAGTTTGTGTAAAGATAATAGTTAAATAGTTTTTACATAGAAAATATTAAAGTCTTTACTGTTTATTTTGTTCATTTTGTGGCGTAGCATTGTAGATTATCAAATCATGAATTTTCAAATCTTGTTTTAAATCTGTGTCTGGGACCAGTATAAAGCAATAGAAAATGTGCATAAATGATGGTCGCAAAGTAGCCAAATAAATGGAGATATGGAGAAAAGCCTAACAATTCTACAAAAAGTCCTTTTAGTTGAAGAAACACCCATTCATTCAAAGGAATCTGTTTCTATGTTATTCTGGTTGTTAGTAGGTCCCGGTTAAATCCGTGTTAAGCAGCAGATCTTAGATTGACAGGAGAAGAGAGACAGTGGGAGCAGGAGAGGAGGATATGTGCTGACATGTTTGGTTCTGGTCTCCTCACCCTAAGCCAGGTCACGCTGCCTTCATTGAGAGGGGTGAGGTAAATTTTAGACCGCAGAAAGGGCTTTTTCAGGGTTGTCACGGGGCAGATGGGAGAGGGGCCAATGTCATGTAAGGGATAGACGGTCATAAATCTCATTAGAGCATCTGCTAATGCTGGAACTCTCAAACATCAGACTTAAAGCAGGAGGGAATGCTGGTTTAGTGCACACAAGAAACTTCTGTTAAAATATATATTCTGGAGATTTGAGTTGCAACGCTATTTGTTCTCCACTTTCATCCCCTGAATTTCTGTATCACTGCGTGAGTCAGTGTTTAGAATCTCTTGTTTCTTTAATCGGAGTACACTAGGGGCATTCATGGAGCTTTACTAATTAGATCTAATCTGATTTTGCTTTGTTTCACATCTTTCTTTATCCCCTCTTGGGCCATGGTACCTAAGGACACACATTATCTGCAGCTGATAATGTCTGTTCCTTCCGCCTGTTAGATATTCTTGAATTTGGCTGACCTGTTTCTGGGTGGCTTGACGTGTGTGTTAGATTTCTTCTGTGTAAACTAAAGTAAGATGGACCAAAGTGCTTGTTTGTGGAAAAAAGGTTGTCGAAGGTGATAGTTTAGTTTAACCCTCTTGAAATATTTTGACATTTTCTTGCCTAAGCCTTCTAAATGCTTTACCCAAGATACTGTCTGTGTGACTGATGTTTTATAGTCTGACAAAAGTGATACAAACAAAGTAGATCAAGGGATGTTTTTAGACCAACCCAACATATTTGCCCTGTAATTTGGGATTTGTTGATTAAGTTATTTTAATGGTAAGGATCTGCACAATTTAGTGAGTTGTCCAACAACTAGTTGGTCTTAAAGGGATTTTTCACCCAGAAATGAAGTTTGTCATCATTTAGCCACTTATGTTGTTCTAAAAACTGTATGACAAATATTTATCTGTGGAACTTAAAGCTGCAGTCTGTAGCTTTTTTGGGGTTAAAAATTATTCAAAATACATATTTGAGAAAATACATAACCAGCCAGTGTTCAACGCTATCTGCTTGCCGTAGCTCGATTCAAAGCGATAAGCTTGTCATACTGTTTTTAATTCCAGTGTTACTGGTGGATTTCCGCGGGAGATTCGAGCATGTCTTTGTGTCATTACGTCACATCTGTACACATAAAGAAGGAGTCTCGGCTAGTAAAAGCTGTATTGCGAGTGAGGATGTTGGTTTAGGAGATTTATAGTCTTTTCTCACAGCACTTGATTTAATTAAACTTTTTAATTAAACAATTTGATAGTAAGTATAATGTGCATGGTTTTATGTTATATGATAAGTAATTTTTAGATTTAATTAGCGCGATTTACTGCAATGTCAGCACCAGAACAAAAGTAGTATCCACACTGGCGCGGTGACTGACAGCCTCACAGTCTCCTCAAACATTGTGTTCATCCCTGCTGTGTTGTGTCGAGGGTGTTGAAGTACAACTCACATAAAGTCGATAATTCGGCGAATGACTGCAATTGCAGATTTTGAACAGAGATGGCAACAAAGGGGAAAAAACGTCGGACTGCAGCTTTAAAAGAAGTTTTTTATTTAAAATGTCTTGGTGTTTTTTCTTTCCATACAATGGAAGTCAGTGGTCAACATTCTTCAACAATATTTTCACTTATGTTTCACAAAAGAAAGTACGTTATACAGGTTTGTAACGACATGAGAGTGAGTGAATGATGACAGAATTTTATTTTTTGAGGAGTGTACTGTCACTTTAAGGAAGCCATTTAAAACTAGGCTGTTTAATGGTATGTCCATCAAATGCCAGATGTGTTTTTAGCAATGTCTAGATGCTAATCGCAGTTGTTCAGTGTGGTAACTGACAGGTATTCATCCAACAAAATGACTAAATTATGTAACCTTTAGTGCACAACATTGTGTGTCATTATAAAAACAGAGACCTACGCATAAATAACAGCAAGCGATTTGAAGACTGACAATTATTGTCTTGAGTTTTGAAGTTTGATGGCTCGACATAACTTCTGTTATTCTTTCAGCATGCTAAAATGCTCTCTGAGAAGTGATCTCTGTGTCCCCTTTAAAGCCATGTCACTATAAATATTAAAGCTAAATAAAAAGAAAAAAAGAGTTGACCCCACTTATCGCCTATTATTTGATCACTCTGACCACAAAAATTCACTTAAAATGAATTGAGCTTGCTGTACCTTGCCCTAGTAACAAGTATTTTGAATATGTTCCTATGCCAACAATATGTTGTTCTGGGAATTCTGAAAGGGCATATTAAATTCAGCATAATGCCACCTAAAGATTATTTGCATCATTAGAGAAAGGTGAAGGTGATCTCTGAGACATGAATCTTTAAAGTGCTTCTTGGAGGAAGCAGCGCTGTGCTCTGCTACTGAGTGAGCAGTGATGACTTCAAGACCATATTTCTCTTTTCAAGAGAGGCCCAGGAGGGGCCTATACACGCATGCACACAACCTGGAGAGATTCACAGGGAAGTACTTTTGCCAAACCGACAGAGTATTTTTGTGGAATGAGGAAAGAGGGGGAAAAAAAGAAGGAAATAAGTTGGAAAACGCTGTAGGTGTCTGTGTTAGTGGAGGAAGGGAGAAGTGGAACTGTGTGAAAGAAAGTGTGAGAACCTGCTTAAGTTTCCTGTCAGCTCAAGTCTTTGGTTTTGGCCGCAGAGAAGCTCAAAGGCCTCTGAAGATTTTTAGACAACTGAAAAAACAACCATCCCCCTTTTCTCCCTCAAAATCTCCTTCTTTCACTTTCTAACTCATTCTCTTAAACTTAATTTCCATATGCGCACACATAGACACATACCTCAAGGATGACTCAGATTTGCTGTTGATTGTTAATTCCTGTTGTTTCTGCTTTTGTTTCACTTCAGGCACCTTTTACCCCTTCAGCCACAGCAACTTTCTGTTTTGCTCACCTATCATATACTTTTGGTCCAGTTGCCCTTAAGATAGTTTAAACCCCTTTGACCCAGTTAACTTTGTATTGCATATTGCATGTAAAAATAATAACCAGTAATTGTAATCAATCGTTCCAGTTAAAACTGTGCCAAATTCTGCCAAAAACGATCATATACTTTTCCCCATTTTATTGCAATTGCATGGATTATTTTGATCCTGGTGTCAATATTTTTGTTTATTTATCTGTGCATAAACTCTGAGATTTCCATTTTGAATGTGGTCTGGCCCACTTCATAGGTCAGTTTCAGTTTAAATTCAAAATTAATCTTGAGATTAAGGTTGGGCGGTATGATGATATATCATTACTATGGTATAAAATGTCTCTCGTAAGAGATTTTGCTATATTGTGTACATTGTGGCATGTAAATAAATAGCACTATTGACACTTCAGAGTGATGAAATACATGACCGAGAATATAAAGACCGGGACGTGCTTGATGTTAAAAAGAGTTATAAGTAGGGATGTACCGAAACCGAATATTCTGGTCCGAAACTGAAAATTCTGGATGCGCTTGGCCGAAAATCGAAAATGACTTTTATTTTTTGACTTATTTAAAATGTTTTGTATAATTGTAGACTTTTTAATAAAGTTTATAATTTTACTATTGTTGCTCAGCAAACAGAAACAAGTCTGCTACTGAGAAATTTGATGGCAGCATGTTATTTGAGCATACTTTGCTTTTCACTCTTGCGCAGCGCACACATGGAGTGGAACACTGAGCAGTCGCTTCAAAGTTGTGTATCTTCGGAAGCAAGGCCAAGGGCAAAGTTACAAAACATGCTGTGTGAGAGTGAAACCTGGAAAGTGAACACTGAGGGGGCAGGGCAGCATATTTTTGGCCTTTTTGTCTTTCGCCCAATATTTCGGTGCATCCCTAGTTATAAGTACAATATATCCAGAAAAGGATCTCGTCGCGGTGGTCCTGCTGACTGGCACATTGTCAAAGTGTGTGCACAGAAAGCCGCTTCTCTCAGTGTGTGATCGCAAATTCAGTTCTCTTTCACATCTTATTACAGTTAAATGGTTGAATACACACACACAACTATGTCAAAATACTCATTGTGTGGAGACAGTGGAGTATTTATGTAAGCACAGGGTTATGTCTCAAGTAAAGTAAACAGTTGGGTGTAAACTGGATGTGTGTCAGTATAATGGTTCCGTGTGTTTGGTCTGAAAGTGACGGCAGCCTAATAAACCTACCTACCTACAATCTTTGGGAGGGTGAATTATTTAACTTGTAATTGGATTTTTTTTTTTTTAATTTGTCCCATTCAATGGCATGGAGAGGGTGGGGTTTATGACTTATCCTGCTGCCAGCCACCAGGGGGGATCGAAATTCTTTGGCTTCCTTTTTCAGTAACTGTGTGGCACACCAATGTGATTGAGTGGGTCATGTTCAATTTCAATGAGTTTCGATCAGTTATTTGGGAAATAAAGTTTTGTGTTAGCAAGTATTTAAGAACTAGATGCTGTATTTTGCAAAGGTTTGCACGGTTCAGGTCATGAAATCTTAAAATATACTAAA